GGAGAGAGAGAGAAGGGGCGTGGGTAGAAGAGAAGAAAGTTTTTGGGAAGAGAAATAATAATGAAACAGAGAGAGAAGGGAAAGGAAGAGAGAATGAGTAAGAGAGAGGGGAGGGGTAGGAAAGTAATTTGGAAGGAAAAAATGTCTACAAAACATAGTTTTTTAAAGAGTGACTAGAAATCAATACTCTAAAGTGCCTATTCATTCCAATTTCTCATTTTTCTTTTTACTTTGTTTTCTTATCTTGTTGTTGATCTTTCTCTAAATTCTTATGAGTATTTTCTTACTCGTTCAAATGAAAGTTCTAAGAAATAAATGCAATATATGATTTATTTAATGACAAGAAGGAGCGCCTCCTACTTACTCCATTATATAATTCATTTATATTAGTTCATTTAATAAATAAATATCTACTAAAATAAACCCCACGACAAAAATGTCGATACATTATTTTCCTTAATAAAATGATTAATGTCAACACCTAATGCTACCTTCTACCCTCTACCACCATAATAATAATAAATAAATATAATTCATCAAATTTAATAATAGAATTCATCTCTAGAGCTCTATATAAAAATGGAAGGGATATTGTGCATTATTATGTGTTATTTTGTAAAAGCAATCTAAGAGTGTTTTGAAATCATGTCTCTAGTTGGAAAGTTAGTGAGCGAATTTGAGATCAATGCTCCTGCAGAAAAATATTACAAAATGTTCAAAGATCAATGTTTCCATATCCCCAATATCACCTCAAATCACATCAAACAAGTTGAAGTTCATGAAGGCGATTGGGACAGCCATTGCCATGGCTCTATCAAGATTTGGAATTACGTTATGGGTACGAAGACGATTTATTTTTCATTTTGGTTTGTTTCACAAATGACCTTTTCAATGATATTTATCTTCGTGTTTTATATGTGATTTGTTAAGATGGCAAGGTTGAGTCTTTCAAAGAGCGAGTGGAATTTGATGACGAGAAACTAGCAGTAACTCTGACCGGATTGGAAGGAGATGTATTCGAGCGTTACAAAGCCTTCAAGGGAACATATCAAGTTGTGCCAAAGGGGGCAAGTCATAGCTTGGCAATTCATACATTGGAATATGAAAAACTCGATGATAGCACTCCGTATCCTTACAAGTATCTTGATCTCATGAATTGCCTCACTAAGGACATCGAATCTCACCTTAAATGATAAGCTTTTGTATCTCAATATAAGCTTCATCGATCACTCTCTCATATGTGTTGAGTTTCTGTATCTTTATTTGTTCTCTTGTACTCCTTTAAACTTTTTATCAAATATGTGTGAAAAGTAAATAAGGGTAAACTGATGAAGCTTGATCGTTATGTTTTCATAAATATATTATATGTTTTATTGGGATATGACTTAATAGAGTGTGACTACTTTCTCTAAAGTTTGATATAGTTTCTATTTTGTTGCTTTCTAAAGAAAATTAGAATTAAAATATGGCGCATATTGTGTGTCATCTTTAGTTTACAAAATGTAAATAAATAAAATAAATAAATAAAAATAAACTTAACACCTATGATAAACAAATAACAAACTATTCCTCATTGCAAATACTTCGCATTTCCTTCATCATGTAAAGTGTGTTTTTTCAAGCCATTGAATTTTAAAACGATTAATTAATGGTCAAATTTATCCCAAATTTGCCATGTTCTAAAATGTTTGAAATTCTTGTCACAATTTTCTTGTAGTTTAGTTTTTTCTTAATGTTTTTTTTTTTCAACATTGAGAATGGAAGATTTAATACATAATTCTAAAATGTATCACCATTTTAATTTTTTTCAAATAAATTATAAGTTAAAAACGTTTGGTCCTTAACTTTTATTGAAGTAATGACTTCGTCATCACAATTTAAAATTAATTATAATTTAGTCACAATTTAAAATGAATGATGTTTTAGTCTTAATAAAAAATCTTATCTATGTGTACAAATTCTTCAGGGAAAGTAGCCACAACTATCTCATACCATTCTCTTGGCTTAATTTCATAACTTCTCCAGGAGAGATTCAATCCAGAACTTAATTTCGAGAAAATGTATTATTTATTTTTAGGTTCTTCAAATGAGCTTGGCTAGATAAATAAAACCAAGTTCTTGCAATCTATTTATGTGATTTATTTTTTAAAATTAATATTAAAGTTAAACTCAAGAGTTGAGTTAGAATATATATCATTGTAAGATTCGAATTCTTTTAGACTTTTAGTTTTAATTTTTATAATGGTTAAATTTACTTTTTAGGTATACAATAGTTTTCTATTAATATATTTGCAAATTTACCTTGATATYAATGTAGAGAAATATTAAAAAAAAAAAAAACTAAATTATCATCTTCAAAGAATAAGAGTAATAATAATCGTGATAGGTTTGATGTAGAACTGAACTTAGGAGGATGATTAATAGATCATGGTTTAAGAAGACTGTAATTTCTTATTACAAGTATAATTTTCAAAACTAGGTTCTTGTCAACCTCGAAATGTTCTATTGTGCGTCTAATTGAAATTCCTAAATCTACCACTAATTATGCCTCGGTAATGGTTCCTTCTCATTATTATTTATATATATTTTTTGATTTATATATCATTAGTCAATTTTAATATTTACTAATAGAGAAATTAATTTGAAATGTTTCATAAGTCTTTCATTCTCCGATTTTTATTTTTAGTTTTTGGTTTTCTATTTTCCAAAATCTAATTTTTCTTTTAATATTCAACTTTTATTTTTCTTTCTTTCCCGTATTTATCTCTAACAAATTTCTTTTTCATCTTAAACTTTTTTCTTCCTAAATTTTTCTCTACATATTTTAAATATTTTTATTATTCCACTAACGCGAGCTCGTTGACGTTGACATATATGGTGAGTTCAATCTCTCATCCCACATGTTGTAATATATTATTTCTCTCTCTCTCTAAAATTATCTTCATGTATTTTTTTTCTTGTTCTAACGGATCACTTCCATTTCTCTATCTAAAAATTCAATATTTTCTCCAACTTTTCTCTCTCTACAATTTGATTTTTTAAAACTTTTTTTCTATTCTTAACCTATTTTTCATCTGAAAACTATATCTTATTTTCTCGTTCAAACTATCTTTCATTATAACTTTTATCTATCTTTTTATTTATTTATTTTCTCTAAAAAGTGTATTTCGAATCTTGTTTTTATCTTTAAATTTTTTTTCTCACTCTAATTTTTTTTCTCACTCATTTCTTTTTTTTTCTTTAACGTATATTTTCCTCTCAACTTTACCTTTAAATTTTTCTTCTTTTGTCTTTAAATTTTCTTTCACTGATTTTCTTTATCTCTCCAAAACTCTTTTAAAAGGTCTGAACTTCTATTTTGGTGTCTCTACATTAGGGGATGACAAAAACTTCCGTAGGGTCTAGTCTCTGCTCCAAGAATAGGAAATGCATGCTCAAAACTCGTCCCCGATTCTATTTTTTTAATAATTAATATATATTTTATTAACATATTTACTAAATTGTACATAAAATATGAATTTTTAAAACTAATTATGTATAATAGTAAATAATCATTCTAAAAATAATTAATATATATTTTATTACATTTTTTTAAATTATAAAAATGATTAAAATTAATTACAAAACCTGTAATTTTTCCCGCGAATATCCCCATCCCCAAATAAAGATATTTTTAACATTGTTCTCCATTCTCAAACCAAAGAACGAGGTGGAGATGGTAGACTAAAAATTTTCACGAACACGAGAATGGAATAGTGCATCTTCACTCCCGCCTCACACTATTGTCATCTCTACTTTAGATAAAATTTTCTCTCTAATATGTATTTCCAATTTTCTAACTTTTTAAAATAATAAAACTAAAAATTGTTACCAAGCTGTTTTGTTTATTCTTTAATATATACGTGGGACAGAACTCACCAGAGACATCACACTGAAGAAGATCGTGGAGGGAGACGATCAGAGCCGAAGAGGGGAGAAAGGGAGACAGCAGAAATCCAGCAAGGAAGAAAGAAGATCTTATTAGGCGAGGGAACAACGGTGGGGCAACGCGGTGAGTGATAGAGCTTGTTGCAAGTGGGGCGACGGGTAGCGGAGGACAAAGAGGCCTATATGTTGAGTTTCTACCGATTGTGTAGGTAGAGTGTTTTTTATATATTTTTTTTTGTATTAATTGTTCACAAAAATATATCTTATTTCTTACGTTATATGTTCACCTTATTTGTTCACATTTTTTACTCACCGTTTATCGTATTTGTTCCTCTGTTCGTCGTATTTGTTATTTGTTTCTCTGTTCGTCGTATTTATTATTTGTTCTCTGTTCGCCGTATTTGTTATTTGTTCATCTGTTCGCCGTGTTTGTTATTTGTTCATCTGTTCCGTGTTCATCTATTTGTTTTGGGTCGTAGTATTTCTGTTTGGGTTTTAGTATTTCTGTTTCTAACTACATTGTTTTGGGCTTAATATTTGTGTTTGTAATTACATTTTTTTTATTGATGTTTATTATATATTCTTTAAGATTTTTAGTATAATTTTCGATAATAATTTTATTGTTTAATGAATTATACTTTTTTTTATACATTTGTTAGTATAATTAATTGAAAATTTATTGGGAAAATATTTGAGTTAGGTAAGATTTTGAAAATATTTGAATTATCCTACGAGGTGTAGAGAAAAATATAGGTAGAATTCTCCTATAAAAAAAAATATATTCATTTTAAAATCATTTTAGGGAGGGTAATTTTGTAACTAAAAAATTAATAGAGATTTTCCTATATTTACGTTTATTGAACCCTTAAACTTGTTTGACCATCTTTTGAAATTACCTATCGTAAATGATATATCGGTTGTTACCCATCCAAAAACACTATGGACTTTCTAGATATATTTAGGAAAAACAAAAAACTAATTCATTTGAATTGTTCTTTCACGGGCTATTTTAGGTTTTGGGACATGAGTGCTAGATTTGGTAATGACTTGGAAGACAACAATTATCGCAAAAAAAAAAAACAATTTTCCTTTTAAAATGTTAGCGCCAATTAATTCTTTCCAATTAAAAAATTAAGAAAATCTAAGACCTAACCTTTCAAATCAAAATCTTCCGACAAATTGAAGAGGGTTCAGGTGATCAGTCCAAAAATAAAACTTATATAAATTTCTCACGTTTGAGCACGTTGTTAACCAAACAAATTAATTTAATATTTCTTTTGTTATAAAATTAAATTATTCATTCCAACTTAATTTATAGTAATCAGCAGTCTCTGATCAAAAGATTATAAATTTGAATCTTCCCCTCCTACTTCTTCTATTAAAAAGAATAATAAATAAAAAATATTATATTATACAAAAGCTCTAGCATATGCAGGTGAATTTAAATTTTATTCTTAATGTTTTAAACACTTTAGTCACATTTCAATTTTTCTCCACTAGTTATTCAAATCTAGAGCTCAATTTCATTAAATTAAAAAGTTTGTGAACTCATTAAATTTAAGTATATAAAAGTAAAAATAGATTTTCCTCAGTAACATTGAGGTTTTTTTTTTTTTTTTTTTGAGTAATAGATCTTTGACATTGTATATGAATTTATGAAAAATAAATAAATAAATAAATAACCTTGTTACCTTGAACTAGATCAAATAGAATGTTTATTTTAATAATAAAATATATGGAAAAAAAATCTCTTTTGTACCTTCACACTTAGCTGGGTCTATTTTAATATTAACAATTTTATTTCAATATCCAGTGACACGTTATTTGGTCAATAATCAATTGAAATTTGAAAGTGAATGAAGCATGTTGGAAGGTAATAATGGACTTGCCACGTAACAAGGAAAGATTTGTAAGTTATATCTTTCTCCAAAATTTTGGAGACGTAACGTGGCACGCGTTTGAAGCTTTAAGCAATGTAGACCTTTAAATTGGACTTTCACTAACTTAAGCGTTCGAGTATTTTCTAGTCACTTTTTAAAACATGTTCATTTAGAAGACTCGCGTACCACTAGCTTTTAAAAGTAGATTATCGTAGAATAAGTATTTCTTAATGGAAAATATTTATTTACTCAACAATGAGAGAAATCTTATCATCCTTATCATTAAATATTTGATAATTCATTGTTGTTTAAAAAAAAAACTTTTTTAGGAGTACTTGGTTTTGATGGGAAAAAATCTCGTACTTCTATTGCAGGAATAAGCAGAAAATAACTGAAAAATAAATAAAAAAAAATTAACGTAGAAAACTTCAAACCGAAGAAAAAACCACGACCCACAAGAAAAAATCTACGGCCTCTCAAGGCAAATATCGCTAAGTTAACTAGAGTTAATATACCAGACTTAAAGTATTTCAATCGGGATAAATAAAAATCAAGGCTATAAGCTCCTTTTATA